TGTGAATGCAGTAGATTAATTTTGTGTGTGGAGGAGGCTGAGTGTTGTGTGTGGAGGGGAGGGGAGGCTGACTGAGATTTGTGTGTGTGATGGCTGAGTGTTATCTGTGTTGGGGAGGAGGCTGAATGTGTGGACAGGGCTGCAATCAGAAATATTGGGGCCACTAACACAGCTCAAGGTCTGGGCCCCTGGGGGCCCATCCCCAAGTTCACTCACAGAGCCCATCCTGAGTCCACCCACAAGGATGTAGTATGTGTGTGTACTGATTGTGGTGTGTGTATAGTGGATGTAGAACGTGTGTAGTGGGTGCAGAGTGTGTGTGTAGTGAATGTAATGTGTGTGGGAACATTTTGTATATGTAGTGGATGCAGATTGTATGTTTGTGTAACGACTGCAGTGTTTGTGTGTATTAGATGCAGAATTTGTGTAATGGATGCAGAGTGTGTGTTTGTGTAGTGGATGCTGTGTGTTTGTGTAGAGGATATAGTGTGTGTGTGTGTGTGTGTGTAGTAAAGGCAGTGAGTGTGTTTGTATAGTGGATGTTGTGTGCATCCTGTGGGAAACCCCCCAAAAGCCATTTTTATATTTATTTGAATAGATTTTAAAAATAAGGCAGGTTTTTTTTTTTTTTTTACCATGCTGTACAAACTTTGGCCCAATAAGTTTTATAATAAAAAAAGTAACTGATATTCTGAAGGAGGAGAGAAAGAGGGAGAGAGAGAGAGGGAGAGAAAGAGAAAGTGTGTATACTATGGCTTCTATAAAGGGGCTTACTCCAGAAATTATTATCCTCGATGAACATACGTAAGTGTCCATTAGCCGTCAACGTGGTTAAGCAGCACTTACCTTTCCCAGGGTGCAGCGTCATGAAGGCAATCCTCCGTGGCTGTAGCACTTGCTGCCTCTGAGATAACATTCCCTGGTGGTCCGGTGGCATTGTGCAGGCCTCCGGTTGCCTGTTACTGCAGAGGGCGCCCAGCACACCCTGTCTGCACTCTCCAGCAGCTCCTCACTCTCTAAATCTTGCGAGGGCCTCGCGGAGTGTTGCCATGGTAACCCGTAGCAACGCTCTGTCAGCCGCGAAGGCTCGCAAAATTTAGAAAGTGAGGAGCTGCTGGAGAGTGCAGACAGGGTGTGCTGGCCACCCTATGCAGTAACAGGCAATAATAGCGATAATCTCTATGTATATGTGCACATAGAGACGGTGGGGCCCGTGTCTTCCAGATCAGTCCGGGCCCCCATGACTGCCGGGCCTGTGACAACAGTCATGGTTGTCACTCCCTGATGGTGGCCCTGTCTGTGGAGGGGGAGTGCAAGCTGTAGCGGCTATGACGGTACTTGCAAATTGGCTTTGAAGTTGTCTAATTAGTGAAGACAGACACAGTGGGAAAAATAGCGGTGCTTTTAAAAAAAAATCATCTTAAAAGTTCTCACTTATCATTCATTGTTTGGTAACAGGAGCATGCTTAAATACAAATGTAAAACACTCAAATCAGTTGGAGAACCCAAATGCTCTAATTATCTTTAGTGCTAGGTGTCTTACAGCTACAAAATTCAAGCACTACATGTGAAGTACTCATACGTGATAGGTCATATTCTGCCTATAAAGGCACACATTGCCAAGCTTTCTTCTTTAAATCATTCAATTCTACCCTGTTGCTATCACAGTTGACAATAATTTAACTTACTTTATATTTTCAACATTATCTAAAAATATTTGTACTATTTATGGTTTTATTTGTGCCACAGAATGCTTACTGACACTTTAACAAGAATTAAAAAATTTGTTATTGGAATCTTTAACCTCTTAATGACACAGCTTCAAAAGCTTGTCCTGCACTTAATGACACAAGCAATTTTAGCATTTTTTTATGTTTGCGTTCAACAGCAATTTGCATTTTACTAATTTATTGCACCAGCATATATTATATACCATTTTTAAAGGACAGAAAGGGCTTTAATTTGATGTAACACACATATATATATAAATACTTATTTATTATTAAAAAAAAAATACAGAAAAATGCAAAATAAATGAAACATTTTTGTTTGTTTTTTTACAGTTTTTGCATTAATAATGTGTGTATAATTAGTGCAGGTTAAGGAAAGTAATTAAAAATAAATTAATTTAGTTCTTCTCATTTAGAGAATATATAATGTGTCAAGATTTTTTTTTTTTTTGGTAGGTACAGGTCACAAAACACAAGTAGTAAAATAAACTTTTAATGTGGAGCGATTTTTGAATTTGATATGTTTGTCTTGTCAGCTTAATAGCCATAAACGAAAACAAAATTGCCACACAAGTATATATTTATATAAAGTAGACATCACAGGCTATTTACCTAAGGTTATTGTGGCGAAAGTGACCTCACCACTGGTTTTTGGAGAGGACTACTTGCCGACCTTTTGCCCTGTGACTATGGCCCTTTTAATTTGTTTTGGCTGAAAGACCCCATTTATGGCTATTGGGACTTTCGACAATGGTTCTTCGAACTCCCGAACAGTCGAAGTGGCCGCCATTCGACATTCGAACACGTGGTGGCGCCCATCTAAAACCACAAATAGACTTCAGGGGGACTTAGCCGCGAATGCCCTGGAACTATTTTCGGCATGAAATCCTGGGTTCGTCTGGGCAAAAATATGACTTCCATAAAATTTCTGAACCCCTCATCTGATCTGGGGGATTTTTGGATATGTTGTTCACCCATATCAGAGCTACTAGGGAAAAATAGCTGCATGGGGATAATTAAGTTAATGCATTATCTGCCTTAATTATATCACAGGCAGAGGGGAGGGATTGTATACTGTATGTGGGAGTGTTATTCATTGTTACATTGTTTTTATTGGTCTGTACAGTTTGCAATGCTGTGCTCCATCAGGTTCAGGGGGTGTGCCTCTGGCCTGAGGAATTGTATATAAAGCCAAACTGTCCCATTAAACCATCAGTTCTACTTCACCCTCAATCTAGAGTCTTGTCTATTATTGGGGGGAATTGCTATATCACTACAAGGGATTGCTATGATCATCATACTCCCTTGGATAATCACCAGCTCTTGTAAGAGCTGTTCCTGCTACGCTCTCTGAATGAAGAGAGGTTCACCCACTGGAACCTGGAGCCTTGTCGTAGGTCCAGGGTGGGTAGGAGACGGCGAGACCCCAACCAAGCTGCGGCGGTTTGTGGGTTCTGCAGTACTTATGGTGTCTGGAGAAGTGCTTGGAGCCCTCGGTAGGCACTAGGAGCATTTGTCGGCAGAGGTACCCAACCGGGGTACAGGAAGCTCTGTTACAGTTATTTTGACACTTTTTACGTATCCATTTCACCGCCAATCTTTGCTAAATATTGGAGTAAAATTGTGTTTTCTTTGTTTTTGACACACAAACTTATAACAAAGAACTTCTCATGTGTATTTTGTAAAGTTGGTGTGTGCTATTCCTGTGTGTGTTCAGCTACATCTTCTGAATACAACGATACCCCCCATTGTATGTCTTTGGCACTATTTTGTGAAGCTACAGTGCCGTATAGGAGACCTGTCCATTTCCATATTTACAGTACAATTTTGAGAGACGGATTTGATGGGCTTATGCTTCAATTTGGGGTACTATAGCAGTTTGACTGTTCAAAAATACCCACAAAGGCCTACCATTTGTAAAGGTAGACACTCCAGGGTATCTCATATGGTGCATATTGTGCCTTAACGTGCGCCCAGTTTTTCACCAATATATGCCAAAGTATGTGGTAAAAAATAATTTTGGGCATTTTTTACATACGTATTACATGTTTGCTGGGCATTTTGTATATTTCATATGCGCCACTAAGCTCAAACCCCCCAAATTATGCTCAGCTAAGTCTTCTGAGTAAAATGATACCCCCAATGAATGTCCTTGGCACTATTTCGTGAAGCTACAGTGCCATATAAGAGACCTGTCCATTTCAGTATTTACAGTAGAATTTTGAGAGACGGATTTGATAGACCCATGTTTCAATTTGGGGCATTATAGCAGTTTGACTGTTAGAAAAACCCCACAAAGGCCTACCATTTCTTAAAGTAGACACCCCATTGTATTTCAAAAGGCATACTTTAAACCAGTGGTAGTCAACCTTTTTCCACTTACCACCCACTAATGCATCTTTCTTGATGGAAAAATTTCCTTACCGCCCACCAGTTTTCGCGCAAGCGCAGAATATTTTTTAGAAAGGAGGGTGTTTTAAAAAAAATAAATAAATGTACGTACATTTATCTTTTTATTTCTACTTTATGCATGTTTATAATGTTTTTAACTTTATAAAGTTTAATGAGGAAGCAATAAAGTAAATTGAAATTACCTTTACTGGTGATTAATGAGATCCTTCAGGTTGATGCTGCGAGACTAAACATTTGATATCTGGTTCTGGAACAAACGAAGGTCTCCTCTTTCGGTGATATTCAGAAGACTTCTCTGTTTGCTCATAAAATGATTTCTCATCTGTGCGTCAGCTCCCCTCCTCTCCCTCCTCAATTCCTCTCCCACCTTTTTTTTCTTCCTTTTTTCTATTTTTTAACCTTCCTTATAGCAATGCCTAGTACAGGGGTAGGCAACCTACGGCACTAGTGCCATGCACGGCACTCGAGGTGCCTTTGCACGGCACTCCAGGCTGCTAGAGCCAAACAGGCTCTGGCCTATCAGGAGTCCCAGTAAAACTTCAGATATCTGCTAATACGAAGAGGTGGTGAAGGACAATCCTCAATTTATGCATTGCAACACGTAGAGGAATTGATCTCAGAGCACTTCATTCCAGCACTTGTGAATGGGAATCCACACAGTAGTAGAGCAGCTCGCAGTTGCTGTTGCAGCTCCTGTCCTTGACCTGTATCTGGCTGGCCTGGTTCCCACTACAACCCAGGGAAGCCACCCACACTGCTAGATATACACAGAAATGCAGAATAACCCCCTTCCCTCATACAAATAATACGGACAGCCCACACACAAACATACACACAATCGCTTAAACGCAACACCACTAACAATCCACATACATGCACACAACCCCACATGCAGCCTCTCACATGCAATACCCCAAACAACCCCCACACTCTACCAAACACACAATGTGACATATGCATCCACACACCCAATTCCACAAGCAGCCCCCATACACAGCCCACATTCATATGTATCATACACAATACCATAAACTACTCATGAACATATACAATATAATAGCTCAAATACGCACAAATACAATGATACAAAGCAATTACAGTAAAAATAACACAAGCAGAATACGGCAGCAAACACACTTCAATTTAAAAAAAATTGGACCGGCAAGCTACGGGACTTCACAATCCTATATCGGCACAGTGCTGCTAAAAGGTTGCCTACCCCTGCACTAGTAGGAAGGCTGAGCTAGGTAGCCCACTTACTATTATTAGTCAACAACAATTCTCTCCTTTTCCTTCTTTCTCCTTTTTTACAAGTACTCTACTCCTTCTTTCTCCTATTCTTCAAGTACTCTGCACCTTCTTTCTCCTTTTTACAAATACTCTGCTCCTTCTTACTTCTATTCTACAAGTACTCTGCTCACAGACAAATACACACACACTCACATATACATTTACAGACACACACACTCACAGACAAACACTCACACATACACACACACTCACATAGAAACACATACACACAAACATACACATACTCACACATGCACTTACAGACACTCACACATACACAGACAGACACACATACACTAACAGACACACAGATATACACACACACATACTTACAGACACACACATACTTAGAGACACACACACACATACTTACAGACACAGACACACACACACACACACACACACACACACACACACACACATATGCTTACAGACACACACACACACACACACATATACTTACAGACACACACATATACATTTACTGACACACACACATATACTTACAGACACACACACACATATACTTACTGACACACACACATATACTTACAGACACACACACACATATACTTACTGACACACACACATACTTACAGACACACACACACACACATATATACTTACAGACACACACACATACTTACAGACACACACACACACATATATACTTACAGACACACACATACACTTACAGACACACACATATACACACAAATTATTAATATTAAATGTCCACCCAGCCTCCCTACCTGGAGAGCTGGTGTGGATCTGTCCCTGGGGTCCAGTGGGGCTTCACTTCAGCGGGCGGCTGTGTGCTAATCAGACGCGGCGAGGGAGCTCTAACCTCTCTGCTCTGCTCCCTCGCGGGCTGTCTACTGATGCCGGGAGCCGGAATATGACATCATATTCCGGCTCCCGCTGCATCAGCAAATATTGCGTGAGGGAGCAGTGCAGAGAGGTTAGAGCTCCCTCGCCGCCTCGGATTAGAACTCTGCCGCACCTGGGGGTCCAGAAGGTGGCCTGGCAGGAGGGAGCACTTTCTCCTGCCGGTCACTGAAAACTTACGCCCGCAGAGCCGCTCGCGCCTGCCCAAAAGGAGAAATCCTCCTAAAAGAGGATTTCACCACCGAAATCCCTACCGCCCACCTGGAATCCTGAAACGCCCACTAGTGGGCGGTAGGGACCAGGTTGACGACCCATGCTTTAAACCTTAGCGTAGGGTAATTTTTTTTGCAAGTTTGTAACAAGTCTAGTAGCAATTAGCATTTTTTCTGCCTTTTGACACACACTTGGAGATGTTACTGTATATTTTGCAATCCTTATGTGTGTTACGTCATCTTAGTACAACAATACCCCCATGTGTTCCTTTTTCAGGGATATATTTGATGTTGAAGGGGCACATTTGAGACACACCACTTTCACATTTTTAAAAGTGGATGCTAGGCTCAAGTCTCATTTTAGCAGCTCAGGATTGCAAATTACCTCTCAAAGACCACATCTATTTTTAAATATAAGCAGCTCATCAATTCAAATTATGAACAAGTGCATACTATTTGCTGTGAAAGAGGGAATAGTTGGCGTAAATTTATCAGGGGGTAGTACCTAGTCATCTGCATCCTGGGCAAAGCTGTCACGGATTCCGAAACCAAAACACATACAGACCACAAAGAGAGCGAACAAAGAGAGAGGAACTTTAAATACCGGTCCTTCAAATGGCCATACTATACAAGCAGAGAATAGTCAAGGTACAAGCCGAGGTCAAAAGAGTAAAGAGAAACGGAACAACGATAGGACAAGCCAAGGTCAAGGATCAGAGAAGACAGGATAAACGGGAGACAAAGCCAAGATTCGGTAACCAATCAGACAGATTACTAAAATCACACCGCAAATCCGGTCTACTTATTCGGCCTGTGTGTGAAAAATTTTAAAACAGTGGCCAATACATAGGCCGGGCTAAGAGGGGCAACCAGGGCAGTAATAACTGGTCTCAGCTCTGCCCCTCTTGTAACACTCCCTGCACCTTTTCTTGGGATTTTTCTTTTAGGGGTTGATGGAATCCTAAAGCAGAAGTGACCTGCCTCCATTCTTCTGCTAGGCTCACTGATGGTCTCCCTCTCAAGCAAACTCAAGCAAAACCCAGAAATGAGCTGAAACTGAAATGATAGAAACATGCATTTCAGCCCAGCTTCTGCCTTTTTAAAAATTACCCCCCTTTTTATTTTATTTTTTCCCGGTAGAGCCTTTGGCAAACCTGTGCGACTCTTCCGAATAGTGCCACAGGCCACGGTCTCGAAGCAGTCCAGCATTTTAGAAGTGGGATGCTATTATAAAAATGATCAGTATACAAGTGATATCCCTTGTTTAGTAATGGCGTTATTAGGTCCCAGACAATTTTCCCACTTGTCCCTACTATATCTGGGCAACTTGGGGGATCAAGGTGGCTATCCCTTCCTTCGTATACACGGAAGGTGTACACATAGCCACTGCCACTTTCACACAATTTATAAAATTTGATCCCTTGTCGGGATCTTTTGGATGGGATGTACTGTTTAAACCAGGCTTCCTCAAACTCCGGCCCTCCAGATGTTGCTGTACTACAACTTGCATGATTCTATGAATGAAATAGATAGGCTGAGAATCATAGGAGTTGTAGTTCAGCAACAGCTGGAGGGCCGGAGTTTGAGGAAGCCTGGTTTAAACCCCAGTCTTCCCTTAAACTTCATGAGGGATAAAAATAGTGGCAAATTTTTTATTAAAGTGGGCAATTAGAGGGCCTATTTTATATAGAAGATCATACTGTGGATGACCTTTTGTCATATTGTCACTAAAGTGCATAAATCGTAGTACGTCTTCATATCTGTCCCTACTCATTGTCTGGGAAAAAATGAGGTTATTGCAAATGGGATTTTTAGACCAATACATCCTAACTGTGGGCTTTTTAATTATCCCCATTAGCATTGTCAGTGCCTAGAATTGTTCCAATTCTGGCACACTGGTTGGGTTCCATCTCTCTTTCCTGGCGATAAGAGACTCTTGATTGCGTGCAAGATACTGCTCGGTGTACAGATTAGTCTGGGTGACTATCTCCCAAAAAATCTTATCCCCCAAGAACAGCTGCATGAAATCCAGCGCATTATAGCCAGACAGGTCAGCCTGTATGCCAGGATTGGCTGTAAACACTGGGATGTCTGGTGAAAAACTATTAGGGGGTACCAAGTCATCTGCGCCATGTTCAGCAATAGGGGAATCGTCGATTTCCCCTGATGGTCCTGCAGTATCTGGTACATAGTCCCTGTCCCCTGCGTCACTCCCTGCGTCACTCCCTGAGGCAGTGTCGGTCGCCTCTGAGTTGGCCGCTAAAAGGGCATAAGCCTCCTCTGCACTATACTTCCTAAGCATTATGTATTCGTCATCCGGCGTTAAGTGTTTCCCCAGGATGATGGACCCGTTCCGTCATCCATCATTAAGGGTTTAAGTACATTTTACATACACCAGCACATTTTTCCAGAAGAGTGCACACAGAACTTGCAAATATATATTTAATATGCCACATCTTGCTATTTCTTATAATTGCAGCCTATTTCTACAATAAAGTATCAAGCAGGGGTAAGTTATGCCTCCCATAATGATACAAGTTCTTGTACGGGGTTTACTCTGAGAGCAGGCTCAAGCTATATAAGTCTTTACGTCCTCTAACTTTGTATGTTTATGTCTAAAGCTTTACTGTCAGTTTGGGCAACAGTTTCATTAATGTATTTTGACTAAGTTTCTTAGGTATGCTGAACTACTTGGAGTATAGTAGTATGCACATTGCATACTGCAAATGCTGCAAACCCTGGTGATTTGCATCAAATGCAGGTCTTCAGACATGAATATCCTTTCTTTATAATTTTTTGCTATCTGTACAATGCAGTGATGACAAGAAATCAAATCCAGCTTGTAGTATCTCTTTAAAATGTTATAAATGAGATAATAATATAAAAAAATATTAATTTGTTAAATTAATTTGTTAGTATGCATTTAGAACAATGGTACCAAGAATTTAAAATCCCTGAATATGTGTTTTAAAATATATATATATTATATTGTGATAAGGTGAATGGGGTGGTCTGTGAGGGAGTTTATATTTCGACTGAATTGTTCAGAGAGGCATATGATTTTTAACCCCAGGGGGAGTGTGTGTGTCTGTATGTATATAACTGAAATGAATATTTAGTTATGGGCCCCTGGGGTGGAGCATTTGGAGAGCAGGGTGGGACAGTGCTCCACTCCGCAGTTTAGCGGTTTTCTTGGGAGACATAGATCCAGGCCAGGGTTTTTGGACTGTCTCCAACCCACTGCTCAGCTGCAGGTAATCAGCTGCAGCAGTGGGAATAAACCCCTCCCTGCTAGGCAGGTAGGGGAGAATGTTTGTTTCTCTCTTGAAGGGCTGGAAGTAGCAGGCTGACTGAACACTGGAGTGCTGAGAGCTAACAAAGACACTAGGTTGGTGAAACCAGTATTATTTTTATAGTTTAACCTCTGAGAGATAGGGAATCGGAAGTTAGTTAGTGCTCAGACGAGCTAGGTTTTTGTTTCTAGGGTTTTGTTACATTATTGTTTTTTCATTTACTGCTGTCTCCTGTGTGGATTTACAAATAAAGTGCCTGGAATTAATTTACTTTTAAAGACTGTGCATGTTTGTACCCAAAAGGACCGTGCTCACTGCAGACAAGGATCACAATATATATATATATATATATATATATATATATATATATATATATATATATATATATATATAATAATCAGGGCTACCTAGAGAACTATAGGCATCAGCAGTAGACTTGGGCACCGTAGCTAAAAAAATTATTTTGTTTCGCCGAACCGAATTTCATCC